ACAGACAAGCAGAGGAAATTTCACAGCCTAACAGGCAGGTCTTTTGCTAGAGCAGTGAGGCAGGGAGGTGTGTTTTGCCTCAAGAGCAATAATATCACCAAACACCAACAGGACCCAATTAGCAATTGAATAATCTGCGTGTAGGGCCCTATTCAAAGCAAGTCTGATGACGATTTCCCTGGGCTTTGGACTCTGTACGCACTCTGTAACAGTGTTGGTTTTTTGCCTTGATTATGGCAAAAACTGTGCAGACTGCAGTCGAATGTGAATAGGCAGCATTTGCCACTCCTAACCCTATACATGGTTTTTAAAGATCATCCTACTTGGCTACAGGAGCAAAGTCTCACGTCTTGTCTGGAAGATCTACTGTCTTAATGTCAAGCCCAGAATAATCAAAGGGAATTTGTTTCCTGTGATTTATTGCCAAGACAGCCACTCCTGAACCCCAGGAAAGGAGATTCTATGGCTTTGATTCCCATTTTCTGCTGGACAGTTTGTTCCAGTTCACTGCCATGAGGGAATGTTTATCTGATGAGGATAAAGGGGCAGGTACAACCATGACTTGAGGGAGCTGCACAGCACCCACTGAGCTAATGTGAAAGAAGCAGCAGCTACAAACCCTCATGGTAGCTTAGAAAAGCTGCACATCAGGATGCTCCAAGCAGAGTTTTCTCCCAAGAGATCTTTCAGAGACAAATGCCTGTTCCTTCTAGGTTTAATGTGAGGTAGACAACTCCACAAGGCGCCAGGCAAGGTGGACTGGGCCTGATGCACCTAGCTCTTATTCTGTTGTTGCATTTCTCTCACTTAGAGACACTGATGCTTTCAATAGCACTGTCAGGAACACACTGTTGAGAGGAAAGACTGCACCTCTTCAAAGGGAACCAAAGAACGTAGCTACATCCAACTGTAGTCCAAGCCTGTCTTACTGGGACTACTTATGTTGTGGGTGTTCCCAAAGGATCGAGTTCAATGGTGAACCAGAATGGTCATTCCTAACATTCTTCTCATTTTGCCACCCAGCTTGCTTCAGAAAAAGTCCTGATGTAGGTGTTTGTATCCTGTCTCTTTCTTCCCTCACTCTATTTGACTTTCAGGCCTGGCAGCAGTGGAAGGAAATTTAGCATGTGACGCTGACATCCTGCCATGTCTGCGAGGCGGCAGATTCCGAGAGCACTCGGGTCTAGCAGAGAATAGCCAGGGAAATAGAAGGTAGGGGATTCACCAAAGCACCTAGAAGCCTGAACCTTGGGGATTCATGAGAGTAAGGGCTTACTAGCATAATGTTTGAGGCCAGAAAGGGCTGATGGATACTGTATTAAAGCTGTGCAGGAGATATAAACATGGCCAGAATCCAGAGGGAAAGGAGGCAGAGAAAAAGGCCATAGTGGAGAGGTTGTGAGGGGAATCCAAGAACATCACTTTTGGGCACAGTGTGAGACAGGAGTCCCCGGGAGCTTAGCAAGGGGGAGCACAGGGACAAACCCCCAGCAGTCAACAGAGGGATCTGTCACAACCACACAGTCCTCAGCAGACCCTCTGCTCATTACCTGTCTGGCACACAGCAGTTCTCTGGTCCTCGGCAGCTCCACGCCCCTGCAGCTCCCAGCCAAACACAGTTCTTCCATCATGTCAGGACTGGGCCTGGAATCATTAACAAAATGGGGAAGTGAAGGAAAGTTGGAGAGTCTGTGAGAACTCTGTGGCTTTCATAAAGTTCACTTTAATGAGCAACATCAGAAATGCAGCTCTGACGGAGAGCAACTCGCAGCAGATGTAGTCCTGCAGGAAGTTTCCCTAGCTTTCTGCTGCTTGCCCCCTTAATTACTCTTGCTTTCTGCTAGAGTTATTCCTTCAGGATTAGTGCTGGTAGTGGACGCCACTGTGCCACAGTCCATGCTGCCTTCAGGCACTGCTGCCCTTGTTCCGCTGTATTTTCACATGTTGGCTGCACTCTGCTACTTCAGATTTCCCTCTAGACTTTTCCTTCCTCCTTGTTCCACCATGGCTAATTCAACCTACCCAGCATATACCTCTGTCTGCACTCTGTATTCTTCACTGACTTTCTGTTTAGCCAGATATTCACTGGCCAAGAACTGGACCCTGTGGCTCCTGTTCTGCCCCAAGAACAAGTCATTCCTATTGCAGCCTTCAGGGCAAGAGGCTTTTCTTACTACTTGCCCACCCTGAACTTTATGCAGGACAGAGCCATCTTAGGCAAACTACCCAAGGCTAACTCTAAACAGCCAAATAACAACACACCTCCACCCCAGTATGTGCACACACATGCCTGCACATCCCTGGGTATTTTAGTCAGTCACAAGTGAAATCAATATCCTTACAAATCCTTAGGGCTGCTCAGCAGTTCCCAGCTTTCCACTCTTTAGAGCTTCATAAACCCTAAGCCATGAACACACATTTCCATGCTGAACATGTGCATTGGGCTGAAATTTACCTTAAAAAAAAATATGTTCTTAGCTTCAGAAAAATGGAACTGTAGTCTCTCAAAACAAGATTTGGAAAAAATACATTTCCTCCCCACCCAAGCTAAAGTATATCTCCATAGGAGGAAAGAATACCATGCTCACCCCTGTCTAGGGTCCAAGTCCTTTTCCACGCTAGTCTTTTTTTTCTTGCAGAAAAGCAGTTTTGAAGACACCTCCTCCTCTTGCAGATACCGTCTCACCGCTTCAGGACAGGGGCAGGGGAACTGCTGGGTTGAATGACTGCAGTTCACAACATTAGCTGGCCTGGGAATCCCATTACGTGATAGGTACCAAGCCAGGGCTTAATTTATGGAAAATTTGACCTTCGGTCCCCTCTGACATTTGCCGATCAGCTGTAGCTGTGTGAGACTTGCACGCCCGGGCTCTACCCAGCCTGTGTGGCGGCGGGAGCTGAGGAGCGGGTCAGAGGTAGGAATTCACTGAGGTTCTTGTGTGGGCTGCTCAGTGGCTCTTTGACATTTATAAATCAGCGCCATTCTTCTGCACAGCAGTGTGGACAAATTGCTTCAGTTATTCCGAGACAGGCCCCTCGCTGCAGTCAAAGGTGGAGCTGGGCATCCTCCAGCTCTTTATTTTTGACATAAGTGAGGAAAAAAAAAGCCTCCACAAATGCAAGTCCACCTGGCACCACACAGTGCCTGGCTCCCTCGAGAGAATGGGGTCAGGATCCAAGTCCATGTCCAAGTATTTTGTACCATCCTTGCTCAGCATGAAAGCCTTCAGCATGCCGTGCTGTGACAGACCCTCACATTTTAATCAGTCCCTGGAGGAGACACTGGCTTGTGCTCATCAGAGCTGATATCAGGGCAGTGCAAGTAGCCATGGTTGCGTTCTGCCCAGTGTTGGGCCAGCAGCTTGGACCCAGAGGAAGCCGCTGGTTCGGTTTTGGCAGAGCTTCCCGTGGAAACCCGGCTGCGGTGACTAAAGCTCTGCCCCACGTTTCTCAGGGTCTGGAGTCCATGGAAAGGCAAAGTGTGACAGGAAAAACACAACCAGGGCACAGAAATGAGGACACGAGCCAGGCTCTGCGTGGCACAAATCCGTGTTGGCTTTGGCAAGCCCAAACCATCTAATGTTCTCCAATGCACCATTTATGTGGGCTCCCTCCTCAGCTCCCCCTGCTCCTGTGGGGCATTGGGGAGGCCTCTCATTTCACACCACGGCCCCGAAGCCACAGTGGCCATTGCCTCGGTGTCACAGAGCCAGGGACAGCATGAGGTTGGCCGGGAGGGCACAGGCCAGCCCACAGCGCCGTCCTGGCCAAAGTGCTCTGGAGCTGGCAAGCAGGGGGATCTCCACGAGCCTCCATGCCACCACAGCCCCTTCGTACTGAGGGAAAAACTGCTTGTGGAAAGGGAGGAGAGCAGGGAAAGAATCAAGACAGAATCAGAGGAAGGGAAAAAAATCAGCCAAAACTGAGAA